TAAGAATTTCTCCATTTTTTTGAATATTTGGGGAATAATATACAATAAAGAATTTTGTATCCTTTGTTGATACTTGGAAATTTCCCTTGCAGTTGTGTAGAAAATTCTTATCTTTCCTTTACTCACTCCGGCCTCATTAGGGTTCTTAAGCCAACTATAGGCATAAATTACCTAATTCAAATGCTGTTTATTTCTTCACATTTCAAAATTATTTCGTAGGCTTTAAAGGAAAGATCCAGAAAATAATGTTAAAGTGGTTTCAGTGTTTCAGCTTTATAATAACAGGTTTTGACCTTGTAGTCAACACATGCACTATAGATAAATGAAAAACAATGAAGGAAATTGTTGTGATTCGGCCAATGGCTTAGTTTTTACACATGGTAAAGAAGGAACTGACCTAGTTTAAGAATCAGTTTAGAAATAAAATAAACAAATAGACACACAAACTTGGCCCTGCATGGAACATTAAAGAGAAGTGGAGACAAAATGCTAAGAATGAGGAGGATCCTGGCAAGATGGCAGATGGAAGTGCCAGCAATCTGTGTTCCCACCCAGGTAACAATCACACTGGCAGAAAATGGTGACCCACAGAATGAGAGAAAATATTTGCAAATCATATATCTGACAAGAGGTTAATATCCAGAATATACAGAGAACTCGTAAACCTCAACAACAACAAAATAATCTGATTAAAAAGTGGGCAAAGGACTTCAATAAACATTTCTCCAATGAAGATATACAAATGGTTAATAAGCCCATGAAAAGATGCTCCAAATCACTAATCATCAGGGAAATGCTAATCAAAACTAAAATGAAATACCACATCCATTAGGATGGCTATTATCCAGAACAAAACAGAAAATAATAAGTGTTGGTGAGGACGTGGAGAAATTGAAACACTTGTGCACTGTTGGTGGGAATGTGAAATGGTACAGCCACTGTGGAAAATAACATGGCCGTTCCAATAAAATAAAATGGGGAAACAGCCCAAACATATGAATGGATCAGCAAAATATGGTATATACTAATGAAATAATAATGAAATATTATTCAGCCTTGAAAAGGAAGGAAATTCTGACATTTGCACAACATGGATGAATTTTGAGAACATTATACTAAATGAAATAAGTCAATCTCAAAAAGAAAAATACTGTATGATTCCTCTTATATGAGGTACTTAGAGTAGTCAAAACCATAGAGTCAGAGAGTAGGTGGTGGTTGCCACAGGCTAAGGGGACAAGGGAATGGGGAGTTGTTGTCTAATAAGGACAGAGTTTCAGTTTTACCAGATGAAAAGAGCTCTGGAGATGGATGATGGTGACAGCTGCACAACAATATGAATATACTTAATACTCCTGAACTATATACTTAAAAATGGTATATTTTATGTTATGTGTATTTTACCACAATAAAAAAATAGAAAAATAATACTAGTAGCAGATTTCGAGCCTGCTGCTGCATGGAAATCTGTGGCAGAATAGACTCTGAAGTAGCTGTTACACAGAAGCCAGAGACAGAAGAAATAGAGGAAAAGCAAGGCTGCATCGAGAGTGAGGATGACCTCGACAGCTACTCCAGGTGAAAAGTTTTTGAGGGTTGTACTCCACTAGGAAGGTCCTGCAAAAACACCTTCCCAGGAGAAGAACTGGAAAATCTAGAGCAAAAAGCAGCTACTGTAGAAGGAATGCCTGTGAAAATCTTGGCATTCTGTAGACTGATTGACAGGAGGCTGAGATTATGGGAAATACAAAGAATTACTTGTTATATTATGATGTGCCCTGTTCCTAGGATAGAATAGAGGCTATGTCCTTATAGAGAAAACCAGAGTGCCACAATGCAGAAGTCAGAGCAGAAATGGAAAATAAAAATAAAATGGAGAGCAAAGGGAAGGGAAAAGGCAGATAATACAAGGTACCTCAGCTCAGAACTTCAACCTCCACCAGTGTAAGCGTGGTCCATATCTGAGTTATCGCACAAGAGTTCCTTCTATTACTACCTACAGGGAAAAGAACAGGTCTCATATCTGGGGGATGGCCTGCATCAGAGATACTTGTGGTCCTTCTTAAAATTCAAACTCCTGAATCCCACCACAGATCAGAATCAGAATGTCTGGATGAGTAGGCTATTGTTAGTACAAGCTTCAACCACACTTACGCTTTGAAAATATTTACAGTCACCAGAAAGACTTAGCTGGTATTACAGAATTTCTGCCACTATAACTGACAACAACCCAGGCTGGGCAGCTGGATGTCACTCTGCTGGCACTCTCCAAGAGGTGCTTTATTGAGAACTAATAGATTACAGCTTTGATCCCAAGAGACACAACGTAGAGCACCTCGCAGTATCTGTGGCTGATTGTATTTTCCAAAGATGGCTGCGACAATACCTCCTGTTCCTTATACTCTTCTTGCATCTTACCATACTCCATTAAGAGTTAGAGTCTATGTCCCCTCCCCCTTGAAACTGAGTGGACCTTTGTGACTGCTTCAGACAAGAGAGTTTGGCAGAGGTGATGCTACATGTTTTCTGAAGCTAGATCATAAAAATGTCATGCATGTTTATATTGTCCTCTTGAGATGCTTGCTCTGCACACCTAGCAATCGTACTGTGAGGGCATCCAAGCAGCCTGTGGCATGGCTAATGTGGAGAGGAACCCAGGCCATTGGGCTCAAGCTCTGGCAGAACCCCCAGCCAGGAAGCAACACCAACTAGCCATGTGAGTGAATCATCTTGAAAAGCTACCCTCCAGCTCCACCCCATTTCACATTGCATGAGCAGACACAGGGTGGTCTGACCAAACTGTAGACTTTTTTTTTTTTTAAGATTTTATTGGGGAATTGGGGGAGGGGAACAGCGCTGAGGAATTGGGGGAAGGGAAACAGACAAGTTGCTGTCCTTTTGTTCTTCAGTCTAGTTGTGGAGGATGTTGCTTCACTGGCCCAAGTTGGCGCCATCATTGCGCTCTTCCCGGGAGAGGCAGATCAGTCGCCAGCATCTGGATGGCCGTTCATGGTGGCTGCTGGCCGTTCACGCTGGCTGCTGGCTATACACGGTAGCCCATGGCAACCCATTGCAGCAGGGGCTGCAGCCTACACTGTTGCCGGTGACTGGGGCAGCCCAGCTCCAGGTTGAGCTGTTTTTCAGCATCTTAGCTGTAGAGGGCAGTGTCACTGGCCCTCATATGTGGGATCCGAACCGGGGCCCTCTGGCGTTCCAAGCCAGCTCTTAACCAACGCGCCACTCTGGCCGGCCCCAAACTGTAGACTTTTGAGCAGAAGAAATGACTGTTGTTTAAGCCAGTAGGCAGCAACAGCTAAGTCTGATACATCATCCATGGGAGGTGGTACATATGGATAATCATTCCATACCCTGGAAAGGCAAGATGGATTCTCTTCTGCTGTTCTTTGTGCTGTCAATTTGTAAACCTTCTACATGTCTGTCGCCCCCTCCCCCAACTTCCTCGAAGGAGTTGCTGTTTCTTGGCTCTTGCAACTTACTTCTAGTGTGCAGGAGGATTTAAGGAGGGAGTTGATGTAACTGAGGGAAGTAGCCTGGTATGAGGGGCCTTAGGTATTTGGAATGCACAGGATAAAGCATGAGATCAAAAGCGGGACAATGGGGCTAAATTATAACTATTCTCAGCTCCATCAAAGAGTTTTTAAAAAATCTCCTTGTTTATCATAACTGTTAGGTGCAAACATGTATAAAGTATGTTGTAATTTTCTAATGAGCTATATGGAAAACATTTTGCTTAAAAACAGAATTTCACCCCAATCCTGTGCCTTTTGGGGCTGTTGTTCCTAGTACTACAAAGCTGAGATGGAACTAAATTGCTCTTTATAAGAAAGCTATGTGGACTCCACCCCACCTTCACTGCAGCATTATTTACAATAGTTAAGACATGGAAACAGCCTAAGTGCCCATCTATAGGTGAATGGATTAAAGGAGGTGTGGTACATATATACAATGGAATATTATCCAGGAATAAAAGAGAAGGAAATCCTGCCATTTGCAACAACATGGGTGGACCTGGAGGGCATGACGCTAAGTGAAATAAGTCAGAGAAAGACAAATAACATGTGATCTCACTTACACATGGAATCTAAAACACACGCGCACACACACACACACACACACACACACACACACACATCACCCCCTAAGCTCATAGAGAGAACAAGTTGGTAGTGACCAGAGGAAGGTAGGGAGTGGGTGAAATAGGTAAAGATTGTCAAAAGATATACATTTCCAGTTATAAAATTAATAAGTCCTGGGGATGTTATGTACAGCATGGTGACTACAGTCATGTACAACATGTAGTGCATATTTGAAAGCTACTAAGAGAGTAAATCTTAAAATTATCATCACAAGAAAAGAATTGTAACTATGTGTGATGATGGATGCTAACTACACTTATTATGATAATCATTTTATATATAAAATCATACATAAATAAAATCATATATCTAAAATCATTACATGGTAGACTTAAAACGAATACAATGTTATATGTCAATTACATCTTAATAAGAAAATGCCACATTAACCTGGAAGGGGACGTGCAGAGAGAAAGGTGTGTGGAGAGCCTGTGGTTGACTTGTTGCAAGAGATGACTTTGGGGAGGATAGTAATGTCCAATGGGAATTTGAATTAGGTTTATGACAGGTTTCCTCTCTTTTATCTATATAAACTACAGTAAACTCTGCATTGCTCAGCACATACTTTCTGGAGTGGATTTATTTTATGGGGCTGTAAAGAAGTGCCAAATGCCATTCAGACTCCCAAAGGGAGGCAACCACACTTTCCTGGGGTGAAGGACCCCATAGGGTAACTAACACCTGGACCCCCAGTGGAGGGAAAATCCATAGTAATAAAAACTTTTTACTTGCAACATTTAAAAAACCTTTTGTTCTGGACATTTTCAAACATGTATAAAGGTAGAAAAACAGAATAGAAAATCCCCATCTACCCATCATTCAACACTGACAGACAACGTTGGGTTCATTTTTAAAAGAAGAGTATTGTAATTTCTCATGAAGCAGTATTTAAAGACATTAAGAATTATTGAGGAAATTAATGGAAATTAATTGTTTTAATGGAGTCATCTTAGAGAACAGCACTGGAAATATATTTCTTTCAAAATAAACTGCAAATTAAAATGTTTTGAAGCCATGTGAAACCAGATGATTAATTGAATTAATTTCTAAGACTTGAGATGAGATAGCACTTAATAAAAGCAGTATTTCATTCCAGCATTTTCTTTCACCACAAAGTGAATTTTATCTGTAAGAAAGAATAAATGAATGAAAGAATTAGGACTTATCAGTTCCATCATTTTTTATATTATCTTGTTCTAAATATCAAAACTTGCATTCTACATTTACCCTACTGTCAAATTGCTACATGTTTAAAATCTACATCAAATAATGTCCCCTGGTTCAGTGCAATCTATTAGAAGGAGTCATGACCACCAGTTAAGATTCAGATGAGTCTCCTAGGTTAGGGCCCTAATTATGCTTCCTTGCTTGAACGTTGAGTTCATTTATTCATCTACAATATTTATTAAGTGCCTCCTGTGTGTCAGGCACTATTGCTAGGTGGTTGGGTGAACCAACAGAATGCTCTGTAGATTGCCAGAGTTAACTTCTATTACAAAATGACAATGAATCATCAAACATGAGAAGGTGAGAGAATCTAAAAGGCAGAAACCTAAAACAATCTTTTTCACTGATTAAATGACTAGACCAGTCAACTGCCACATGGTAAGTCCCTCAGGGCTACTTTGGCATAAAATTCTGAGTCCATTTGGTAACATAGGCCTTTAAAGAAGCAACACTGCTTGGGAAGAAGGACAATAGTCAATTCTTAGGAAGTAGGGTATAAGGAGGAAAAAGACTGATAAGCAAACTCCCTATCTTGACTCTGTTTGAAAATGAGTTAAGTGCGTCAGTCATTGAGGGAAACACTTGAAACAAGCAGAAGAATACTAGGATACTAAATGGTACTAAAAATGCAACCTACTGAATCATGATTCATTAAGAGGACATTATTTTGTGCTGCATGTGAGAGAGACGGATTGCATTAATGTCAACCAATCATACACATTAATGCACCGTCCTGATCAAACACTTACAAAAACCTTTTGGGAGATAGGAGTTTTACAGAGAATAGCTATTTCCATGTGAAAGCAAAATTTTGATTGCAAATTCCATGAAGATTGGCAGGAGAGATTGAAAGATGGGACTGAGGAAGCCCTTGCTGTCTTGCCTGAGAGAAACAGGAAGAACTGAGAAGATTAAAATAACCTTTGATAATGACTTCGATAATATAGTCACCAAAAAGTCAGTAGTTCTTCATAGTGGGGGTTTTGGATAACTGGGTGAACTGTCCATACTTAATATATAGAGACTAAAATAGCTTTTTACCACTTTTTGAAGAATGAATTATTATTTTAATATTGTGGTGTTGATTAAAAACATATAACTAGGTACATTACACAGTCACACTTCATATAACATCTCAGTTGGTTACTGATGGTAGCAGTGGACCTGAGATCTAGGCTTAGGGAAAGGAGTGTCTGGTTATACACCTAACTCTACTACCTTAAACATGGTGTACTTAAGATGGGCATGGTTGATATGTGGCATGTTTATTTGGTACATCAAATGGCCACTCTTGTTGTGGCACATATTAAAAAAAAAATCACAGAATTCTTTCCTGTCTAGCCAAGCTTAGACCTTTCAACCCAGGCTCTGGGAAGCTGACTACCAACTGATTGGTGTAGGCTGGCAATTAAAAATCATTTGCCCTTCATTTGTTAAGGGATAGCTCATGTATCTGTGAGAGAGTACCAAAGAAATAAAAGATGTCTTGAGAATTTGTTTTGCTATTCATAAATCAAAGAATTTCCATTAACATACCCAGCATCTTTTAGAAAGCATTCATTTCTTTTCTTTTCTCAATATCTCGTTTGAGTTGACAAAGGGTGCATAGAGGGAAACAAGACAGCAACATGAAATCACCGCAAATAGATCCCTGTTAAAAAACAGACAAATTAATTAACATGTAGCTTATAAATATAGTCACACGATACCTGGCATTTGTATAGCTTTTCAAAACTCTTTAAGACATACATTTTATGTCACTTGTTTATCACTAGAGTTCTTGAACATTATCCCCATTTTTCTGATGACCTAGAGAAGTTAAATGACTTGCTAAGATCACATAACACATTAATGACAGCACTTGCTCTTTTTTTTCTCAAGCCAGTGCCCTTTTCATAATACATCATTTTATCTGCAGGTTACAACTGTAGCCCCAGTCCTTTATCATCTGTCCTAGAATGGTTTCCTTTAAAGCCAGTTGTACAAAGCACCAATTTGTCTATAGTTTGTGAGTAGTGCCAGACCAGGCCTCACCTTGTATCCCTCTAGCCATTTTCATTGGCATCTCTCATGTTCTGCAAGGGAGGAGGTCCAGAGTAAGAGGAATATACAAATTATGGGAAAAAGAAGAAAGAAGAGAATGAATAGTGTTTGGAAAAGTCATGAAATGGGCCACTTTGCAAAGTTTTGAGGGCCCTGTCCCTGGAAGGGTCCAGTTGGGTTCTCAGTGATCCGCTGGTAGAGATGCCCTTGAAGGGAATCCTGCTCTGAGCAGGAGGCATTGGGTGATCCAAGGGGATCTAGTCTGACAACCAGGTGCTATGGCTGTGTTTCTTGATGGGTTGAAATAATTTTGAACCCCATTTTTTTGGTAGCACTAATTTTTTAAAATGTTGGGTAAACAATTCCCAATCTACAGTGTGAGAAGAGAGAGAAAAGGAAAGAAAGAAAAGGAGCTATGATAGAATCTGTTTATAAGGGTTAGGAGCTCCTCTATGTTGAGATTATGAGCGATTTATTTTTCATGAAAATCTTTTTATTGCCATGGTGATTTGGATTTTCATCTAACAGAGTAAGCATGTGGGACAAAGGGTGAGCAAATGAGTAGCAATGTTAAAAATCTTATAATGTTGTGACCCTCATCAGGTGGAGGCATGGATATGCAGCCTAAAGACAATTCAGTCTCATAACTTTCTCTTTTTCCCTGATAAACAATCCAAATTCCTTTAACCTTTCCTCATAATACTTCTGCTTTTCAGTCTTTCATTCCTTATTTACTTTAAAAAAATATTTTAAACTTTCATTAAAACAACATTTATTGAATACATATAATATGCCAAAAAAAGAGAACATGTTCGCACGTTACTTTTCTGTTCCAGCATGTCTATGCCTGTCTTTTACCTCAGGTAGTTTTTAGAGAGGAAAATAATCCCACTATTATTTGCTAAGAAACCTAGAGAAACCAATAGAAGACACACCTTGATTCTAAGTCTCTTTCATAATATAGATATAAAGACTATGGAGAAGGGCCGGCTGAGTGGCTCAGTTGGTTAAGAGCTCGCTCAAGAGTTCGAGCTCTGAGCAACAGCGGTTCGAGTCAGCCCGAGCTGAGCAGCCGCTGAGCTGCCAACAGGTGGCAGGATGGCTCAGCAAAAAAAAAAAAAAAAAAAAAAAAAAAAAGTAAAGACTATGGAGAAGAAAAAACATTCCTTTTTCAAACAGAGAAAAAATGAACTACAGGTTTATATCATACTGAAGTTAATAAGGGACATGAATGCCTTGACTGGACTAGCTTCTCAGGAAATGGGTGCCAGAAATAAAGATTCTGCATTCACCACTCTGTTTAGTTAAATAGGACTGGTGCGTCACTGGTTTAAAAAGAAGTCTGTTTTGAGCACTCTTTACAGAATCACTGAATCAGTGAATAAATGAATGACTTGTGGTACATGGTTGAAGACACATGTGCTCAGGAAGGCAGGATGATAAAGTGGGAAAAACTAGACCTTTGGAGTCAGTCAGAGTAAACCCAAGCCTAATTTCCAGCATGTTCCTGGTCTGTGACCTTAAGCCTGCCCCATCCCTGATTTCCATATCTACAAAGTTGAGGTGACAATCCTGGCACCACAAAGAGTTTGTGAGTAGTAAATGAGCACATATATGTCAAAATCATATCCCAGCACATAGTAGTTCAATCAGCAGTTGTTTCCTTTCTTTCTCCTTCTTTCCTGCAGAGGAAAGAAGGAAGCCTAAAAGGATGGTGATAAGTGCCACAGAGAAAAATAAAGCAAGGAAGAGGAAGAGTGGTGAAGGTTCTGATTTTAAATAAGGTAATCAGGAAAGACCTCAGTCAGAAAGTAAAGACATAGAAGGGTGAGAGGATGATCCATCCAGGCAGAGGGAAGAGCTAGAGCCAAGGCCGTGAAGTCAAGCTTACCTGGAATGTTCCAGAAACAATGGGGAGTGGACAGGAATAGAGTGTGTGTGTGGGGTGGGGAATAAAAGATGATGTCAGAGCATTAGCAAGGGCCTTGCAGGCCATTATATTTTACTCTGAGTGAGCTGGGAAATCATTGAAATCTTTTAAACAAAGAAGGGGCCTGAATGATTCTTAACCTCTCAGAGGGTCCATTAAGACCATTTCCTGATGTAGCATCTATTTGAAAGCTGTGTGATTTAGCAGAAACCATGACAACCTTGGCTAATTCCTCTGTGTGGCTTCACCCTCACTCAGGCCTTTGTGGGACTTGCTTTCCCCTGTGCCTTTTGTGATTTCCTTTGCTCACTGATGTGCCTCTACTATCTGCAATAGTAACTGCCATGTTCTATGTACTTGATAAATCCCTATTGAATGAATGAACACCAGCTTATGACTTAACAAGGCTCTAAGTGCTCAATAGTCCCCTTTTTAATGAATGAGCACTGGTTTATGAGTTACCAGTGAAGCAAACGTGCCAGCTCTATGGGGAACCACTACACACCCATTTTCACCCAAGACTGTCTGAGATACTGTCACCCACCCTGCAGATTTGCAGGTCCTGTCTGACTCTGAATAAAGCCAGGAGAGGCTCAGGGCCCTGTGCTGACCTCCATCCCTTCTCTTACCTGCAGCAACTTTTTCAGAAATACAGCTATTAGATCAATAGAAGATTTTATTACTAGTATATTCCACAATATAGATAGCTGCACAGCCCCTATAAATCACTTCAAAATTAGGAGGTAGTAAAGACTAGGTCAAGCCATGAAGGTGAGGAGGGCAATTATGGAGACCCAGTCAGACTAAAGGGAAGCCTTCGGGTGTCTGAGCTACCACCTCCCAGGGGATCCTTGGGCGACTCACCGGGATGCCGTATCGGGTTCGATACATGGTCCTCATGGCGACACTTGCTCCACACAGGCAGAATTCATTCATGTCAGAGGCAATCGTACACGAAAGGCACAGGGGAAAGAAAGTCCCACAAAGGCCTGAATGAGGGTGAAACCACACAGAGGAATTAGTCAGAGTCATCATGGTTTCCACTAAATCACACAGCATTGAAATAGATGCGAAATCAGGAAATGGCCTTAATGGGCCCTCTGAGAAAACAAGATGGTCATCTGGTTCTTTATGTCTTGCTTGTGGACACTACTGTCCAGGAGTTGGGAAAAATTTGCATGTCATTATATCGGGTCAGATTTAATTGTAAAAGTGTCTGCCTTGTCAACCTGAGCATGTCCAAATTATTATTTTTTTCCTGCCTTAGATTACATTTGAGTCATTCTTTTATAGGAAACTTGTGGCATCGGGATGTCTGAGAAGCCCTCTGAGAACTATGGGAGGGTGTTTAGGGTCAGAAAAGGCTGAGTGGGGAAATCATTGGGGCCAAAATATAAAAGAGCAATAGGGAATAGATTCTAGGTGGCCTTTCAGGCAAAGGGTAGAGCCCTATTATTGATATGAGGATGGAAACAAGTAGAAGCTAAGGGATACTGGCATCAAAAGCTTAAAAAGCTTACTGCAATTTCACTTTAAAGAATCTGTATAAGACAAAAAAGGGCCTAAGAAAATGGCAACAAACAGGAAACTGTTCTCAAGCATGCCCCAAGTACAAGTCTATTTTGAAAAGCTCAAGGGTAGAGTTTTGATGTGGTTGTATTCTAGATAAGATAGAAAGTCCTTGTTATTTTAAGCAGGAGTCTATCTCCAATGAACTTGGAACTTCCGTAGGTTTTTTTTTTTTTAAAAGGAGACTGTTTTTCAAACAACGGAAAGACAAGATGCATATAGAGTGTTTGCAACTCACATGGCAAAAGACTCAGGAATGAGGAAAATTTTCTCACACAAAAGTGTGTTTGGGAGCATAAAAGAATTAGAAGGCAGTCAAGTTAAAAATGTATGATGCTTCCTGAAATGGAACAGCCGTAAGAGTACCACTGAAAGCCAGAAAACACAAAGTCAGCACTGCAGGGAAAGGGAGATGTATATAGAAGACTAGAGAAATGTGTCAAGAACATGGTGATACTAAAGCGGTGGAAAATTTTAAAAGAGGTGATTGATTTAGACAAGGACCAGGCAGGTAAAATAAATTAATGAAATAGGTTGGAAAAAAACACAAGATACACAATAATGAAGGGAAGACATAAGTATGGTAAATTGCAGAGTGAATATCCTTTTTAATGGGGTTGGCTAATCTTCAGCAAGAATTGACCTCTGCCATGTGAGAATGAGGACTAATTTTGACCGATTTTCCAAATTTTCCAGAGAAGCTAGAAATCTAGATTGAAAAACTAGATTTTTAATGTGAAATCTGATTTTTAGGTGTTTCCTATTACATTAAAATTGTGACATCAAAAGGGCTCATTATGTACAGGACAAACAAAATACAGCCAGGGGCTAAATCTGCCCATCATGGGCTTCCAGCTTGTGAATCCTGAGTTGGAGAGTAAAACATGGACCTCAATGAGAGGATAAAGAAACATTTATTATGTCAGTAATCTGCATTATTACTGGTAGTCAAGGAGAAAGCGATTACTAGGTGTACTTACAAATCCCTATGTTGCTGCAGCAGTCAAATACACCAGTTTGCCAGTCACTAGCCATCCCGGCACTACTTGTGCCATATCCTGGCTGCGTGACAACTGGATTCATTTTTAAGGATAAGTTCAAAAGGGCACGGCCTATGAAAACAAAACCAAAAAAGTATTAAACACCTAACTATATTGGCTGGATATAATGTAGATACCAGTTGAGAAGATGTTTCATCACACCTCCCTCCCCTGATTAGGGGTGCTAACATTCCACTACCTTAGCAGAACATTTCCAGACTGTTGTCAATATTTGGGAATTAAATACATAAAGGAAAGGGGAGAAGGTTCCTTTCTTAGGTTTTCTGGGTTTTTTTTTTTCTTGCCCCTTTCACTGACCAACAAGATGATTTTTTTTTCTATTTTCAAGACAATCATCCTGAACAATGTCTATTTTGCATTTAAAATGTTTCTATTTAATAGCAATTATAACCGATTTTTACAAAGCTATTTCACAGACATTATTTTAATTGCTCCTTAAGAGGACTCTGTGAGATAGAGTTCTTTACTTCTCCATAAAATTGTTATTAAAAAGATGCTTCTAGCTAATGTCTGCATTCACTGCATAATTAGTAGTGGTATCCTGACAGTAAAACGTTTTAATAGAAGACCTAGGATACTTAATCAAAAAACCATTCAATTCCCTTTTGTGAAGGTGTCAGGTCAGAATCTGAAAAAAGTCTTCAAGGTCCCAGTGGTTGCAAAAGCACGAAAAATAGTGTCTCTTAAACAAATTGGCACTTATTCATATTTCATTCAGCACTCAAGGGAAGTCTCATGAGCTCCAATCCAGTCAGAACTCTCAAGAGAGAACATGCATTTGGTTTCACAATTACCAGAGTTAAGGATGCTACTACCATTTGATCAGAGTTGGTGTAAGATGTGAATTCAATCTACTATCTGAGAAATAGGTACAAATAAGAATAAATTGTATGGGAATGTGCTGTTCAGTTCTGAATGTTATGGATATACCTCCAATCTCAAGGATGAATTATCCATTATCTTTTATAAATATACTGGGGAAACCAGTGTAGTAAAAATATACAGATAGCTACTGTTGGGGTTGCTACGTGTGTGTGTGTGTATGTGTGTGTGTGTGTGTGTGTGTGTGTGTGTGTGTATACCATTAAAGAAATAAAAATTTACCTGCAAGAATATATTCTTAAAAGAAACTTACTTCTTTTATAAAAACAATGCTTTAGGGAAAAAAAAATCAATATAGCCAATCACAATCAGTTTAGCCAATATCTCAAAATGGAAAACCATGCTAAAGTTCTTTTTTAAAAAATTTGTTTATTTATTATTTATTTATTATTCCCCTTCACATTCACCTCCTTCTTAATTTTTCAATCACAGTTGACATTCAACATTATTTTATATTAATTTCAGACGTACAGCATAGTGGTTATACAATTTAAGAAATGATTCCCACTGACTAGTCTAATACCCATCTGGTGCTATACATAGTTACTACCATATCATTGACTATATTCCTTATGCTTTACTTCATATCCCCATGACTACTCTATAATTACCAATTTGTACTTATTAATCCTTTCGCCTTTTTCAGTTACCCCCAATCCTCACTCCCATCTGGCAACCATCAGTAAAGTTTTTATCAATAGTCCCCAAAGTTAAAAATTACTCCAGGGCAAAGGTTGTATCTTAAATAGTCTTCCAGTGCTTCATAACTGTTTGTATAGCACTGGACACATACACTTGTGCTGAGTAGCTTGGAGTAGGATAAAATTTGCTGGTTTGATATAAAAATACCAGTTAAGTTTTGAGGATAAGAAGTTCTGATATATTGAACGATCCAAGGTGGCAGAGTACATAAACACTGTGCCTGCCTCATCCCATGAACACATCAAAATTACAACTAAATTATAGAACTTTCAACTTGAAGAACCATCTGAAGTCTAGCTGAACAGAAGTTTTATAACCAAGCATATAAAGAAAAAGCCATGCTGACACTAGTAAGAGGGGAGGAAACGCAAAACGGGCCGGCCCCAAACCTCCATGTTGTGGATGAAAACTGGGAGGGATATCTTGGTCACAGATGTTTCCCATGGAGGAGCAAGAAAACCCAGCTTCACACCTGACTTCCCAGCCAGGAGTACTGATGCCAGGAAGAGAAGCCCCCACAATATCTGGCTGTGAGAAACAGTGGGGATTCTGACCATCTGGGTGGGACAGAAGGCTGTGGGAAACCCAGGCATCCTCTTAAAGGGCGCCCCCACACACTCGCTTGCAGTCACCCACCTTGGGCTCCGGTGGAGGGATGGTGACTACGGGTGCATCAGAGGCATATGGAGGGTGGACTGAGGTGTGTGACCTTGGGGTACAGCCTGGGAGACAGTCTACATTTTCCCTGTGTGGGATCATCCTCCCATGCAGCTGGCAGGTGGGGGCTATCTTTCCTGTGTTGAGCCTGCCCCTTATGCTTATGGCCAAACCTGAATCTGATTGGCCTGGTGAGCTCTGCAGCTCCAACCTGCTGACTCACTTTGATCCTGCCTCACCCAACTCTGTACTGCACGAGGCTTTATTGGCAATTGGCAACTGACAACCGCCAGCAGGTGGGAGCAGGCTTCCCTGCTCCTGGCTTTTTGCAGAGCTACCCCAGGACTAGTACCAATGGCAGCCATCCTTGGTTCACAGCATGAGCTTTCCCACATGCCTACAGGTCCAGCACAGGCAGCGACTAACCATGGCTAGCTTTGTAGCTCCTACCAGATTGTCCCCAACTGGTCAGAGGCAGTAGCTGACCTGCGCCTGTTGGAGACCCTCCTAAGAGACCCCAGAACCAACATACTTTGAGATTGGTTTCAGAACACAGCAGAGTAGTACCCAATTAACCCCACAAGTGGCACACACAAAGGGTGGTCTCAACAGGCACCAGTGCCTGCTGGGGTGAATCCCAGTAAGTGAAGTAAGCCCCTCAGCACAACATCCCATAAGCTGTGGACATGGCTGAACCCCACAGCAAATCAGCCGGAGGGTCAATCCCACCCACTGACATGCCAATAGAAATCAAGACTAAAACATAACAGGAGGGCACACACAACCCACATAAGGGACACTCCTGGAGCTCAGGTGACCAGGGAGACTGTGCCACTGGGCCCCACAGGACACCTACTACATAAGGCCACCCGGTGAGAGATGTAGCAGATTTACCTAATTCATAGAAACAGAGAGGCTGCCAAAATGAGGAAACAAAGAAATACATCCCAAATGAAAGAACAGGATAAAACTCCAGAAAAAGAACTAAATGAAATGGAGGCATGCAACCTACCAGAGAGAGTTCAAAACACTGGTTGTAAGGATGCTCAAGGAACATGGTGAGAACTTCAATAGAGAGATAACAAGCATAAAAAAGACATGGAAACCATAAAAAAGAACCAGTCAGAAGTGAAGAGTACAATAACTGAAATGAAGACTGCACTAGTAGGAATCACCAGCAAACTAGAAGACGGAGAGAATCGAATCAGCGATTTGGAAGACAAGATAGCAGAAATCACCCAAAAGTGAGGATAGTTTAAGAAACCTCTGGGACAACATGAAGCATAACAACATTTGCATCATAGGGGTACCAGAAGGAGAAGAGAGAAAGCAAGGGATTTAGAACCTATTTGAAGAAATAATGACTGAAAACTTCCTAACCTGGCAAAGAAAATACACATTCAGGTCCAGGAAGCTCAGAGAATCCCAAACAAAATGAACCCAAACAGGCCCACATCTAGATAATTATAATTAAAATGTCAAAGGTTAAAGACAAAGAGAGAAACCTCAAAGCAAAAGTAAAAGAAAAAACAGTTATTTGGGGTTATAGTCCCATAGCTTAAAAAAAAACATAAGAGAGAGAGAGAAAAGAAACTAAGAACTGGATGTTTAGTGTAACCATTGCTTTGCTACCTGGGTATCATTGCTTCTGGATACTCTCAATGGATAGTTTTAGAAAATCAATATGTATTTTAAATTTCATGAAAAAAAAAGTTCTGATATAAACCAAGGAATGGGCATAGGCTGCAATTGGTATGTATGCAAATCCTAGTATGTGTTGTATATCTGGGACTTGAATTTAGTTCTACGGGACTCCAAAGCCCTTTATGCTTTTTCCCACTGAACTCCACCAGTCAGGAATCACAGTTTTTGGCCAGCTGAAATGAGCAAACCTGTTCAGAAATAAAAGGTAAGCATTTTCCTAAGTGTCCCTTCCCAGGTAAATTATGGGACTATAGGGAGCTAGGCAGTTTGTGACTTAACTTTGCTTTCTTTTTATGTATTTGTTTGTTTACATATGTATGTATGTATTTTTAATGTCTTGAAATCAGTTACTCAAAAACTTGCCCTAGAGTTCCACAATACAGGTTTAGGTAACTTGTTCTCAACCAGAGATGATTCTAACTCCCGGGAACACTTGGCCCTATTTGGAGACATTTTTGGTTTTTGCAAGTAGGGGTGGGGTGCTATTGTGGTCTAGTGGGTAGAGGGCCAGGGATATTGCTAAACATCCTGCAAAACACAGAATAACCCCCACAGCAAAGAATTTTCTAGCCCCAAATGTCAACAGTGCTGAGGTGAGAAACTGTGATTTAGATACCATCAACATCATGAAATGTGAGCATCGGGAGGGATTCAAAAGGTTGTCTAATTCAGTTTCCCAGCAGATGCATAAGTTGTGTCTTCAAAAGGCCTGACGGACTCGGCCCTTGGGAAGGTCTTCCTTCGTAGCTCCCATTCTTAAAATCCTCAAGTCACAGAAGGTTGAAGAGCCGACGACATGTATTTCCAGTTCCTAGGGGATCGCCACGACGCGAGCAGCAATGGGAACCCGCGCCTCCTCCACCTCTCCTCTGCCGGGCAGTGTTTCTACATCCCGGCCCGGTCCCTCTCCCATGCCAGAGTCGCCGAGTATCAGCCACCACCCTACTTTCCACCTCCCTACCAGCAGCTGGCTTACTCGCAGTCAGCCGACCCCTACTTGCATCTGCGAGAAGCATACACCGCTGCTATCAACCCTTTGCACCAACCAGCGCTCACCGGCAGCCAGCCGCAGGCCTGGCCGGGCCGCCAGAGCCAGGAGGGGGCTGGCCTGCCCTTGCACCACGGGCGCCCCGCCGACCTGCTACCCCACCTCTCCGGGCTGGATGGTGGTGCCATGAGCGCCCGCAGGGATGGCTACCGCCTCTCGGACTTGCTGCTGCCCCACACACACACCCTGGACGCCGCGGGCCTGGCAGAGAACCTGGGCCTCCACGACATGGCGCACCAGATGGAGGAGGTGCAGATTGTCAACGAGCAGCACCTGCTTTTGCATGATCAGACTGTAATTCGCAAAGGTCCTGTGGCCGTGACCAAGAACCCTTTGAATCTCCTTTGTCAGAAGGAGTTGGTGGGGGCCGTGATGAACCCCAGCGAGGTCTTCTGCTTAGTCCCTGGAAGACTGTCCCTCCTGAGCTCCACGTCTAAATATAAAGCGACAGTTGCTGAAGTCCAGAGGCTATAGTCCCCGCCTGAGTGCTTAAATGCCTCATTACTAGGAGGTGTTCTCAGAAGAGCCAAATCTAAAAATGGGGGCCGGTCTCTGCGGGAGAAGTTGGACAAGATTGGGCTGAATCTTCCAGCCAGGAGACGGAAAGCTGCACATGTAACCCTTCTGACGTCTTTAGTAGAAGGTGAGGCCATTCATCTGGCTCGGGACTTTGCGTATGTCTGTGAAGCAGAGTTTCCAAGTAAACCGGTGGCTGAATATTTAACCAGACCTCATCTTGGAGGACGGAATGAGATGGTGGCACGGAAGAACATGCTGCTGGCTGCACAGCAAGTGTGTAAAGAATTCACGGAGCTTCTCAACCAGGACCGAACGCCCAATGGGAACAACCGGCCTGTCCTGGTCTTGGAGGCCAACATCCAGAACTGCCTGTCTCACTTTAGCCTAATTACCCACGGTTTTGGCAGCCCGGCCATCTGTGCCACCGTGTCTGCTAGGCAAAACTACATCAAGGAAGCCCTGGTGGTCATAGACAAGTCCTATATGAATGGTGGAGACCAGAGTCCAACCGATTCGAGCAAAACCCTGGAGAAAATGGAGCAGCACAGGAAATGACATGGCATGAACACAGGGCCTAGTGAGTCTGGAAGGAAAAAGTCTCCCAAACCGCTCTCCACCCGGCCCGCACAGACAGCACCTCCTCTTGCCTGGGGGAGAGGTTGAGCTTGTTACCCACCTTCCCATTAAAAAGGCCTCTGTCAATTTCCGGATCTTTACGTGCCCTCCTGGAGTCCTTAGAAATTTCTCTAGCGCTGAAGCGTCTCCTTAACCCTGGACCAAGGTATCAGAAGGTGACAAGTACTGATTCCTTACTCTTTAAGCTTCTGTGTTACTTTTTTTGAACCCCCTTCCTTTCTCTGAAAAGTGGTGCTACAAGTTTTAGAACCTTTTAAATATATCCCTCGGGCTAACAAACCCACTTTTTTAGCTGGGAAAATGTCAAGTTGATTTCAGATCAACAATAACTTTCAGATCAACAATAATGGCTGGCTTTCGTGGCCACTAAATATTTCTCTAAACAAAGGTATTTATCTAGCCTCTTCAGATATCAAATCCTACACCCAGTAGGAGGCAGAGATTCTATCCGCTTAGCAACTAGTTAGGTGGTATTTGACACATTTTATACCCCCTGTTCGAAGGGGGCCTTCGGGCTTTACAGAACTTGTAGAAACAAAGCCTGCTGATGTGGTTTTTTGTTTTGTTTTGTTTTGTTTTTTAAAATCTTTGAAAGTTAACTCTTCAAATGGGAGACTCTTGAAATGACCTGTTCTTTTAAGGTACTGAAGCTTTATTTGCGTATTTATTTCACATCTTGGTGTTGCGAGTAAACTTGAAAAGGGTAGGCACGAAGCATTTTTTTTGCTGCCTGTTACCCCATCCCGGAGGAGGCGCTGTTCTTTTGAGAAACGGTGCGTTGCGTGTACAGATTTTATTTATGCATAATTTAATCGGGTCTGTAAATACGGGTGCACTTCTTACGACTTTTTGAAAATTGGGATTCCATGTTAATACCTTAAAGGTGAGGGGTCATCTACAACACATGTTTAGGTTTTATTCATACGTACACAGGGTATCGAGAATTAAGAGGACCCTGGGATCTGTTCTTGATGCGAAAGATTCTATTTAATTCAAGCTCTGTTCACATAGCAGTAACTTTGTGTCTCATTCCTGTTGGGCCAAACCCAAAGGTGAGTGCGTGGTACAGTGTGTGTGGGTGACATGGAGTTTCGGAATTGAACTCCATGCCTGTAAAATGTTCCCCAAGTAATTGTTGTGTATATGACACCTGTATAATAAAAAGTATTCTCGATTAAAAAAAAAGAAAAAGGCCTGACAAGCGGTCCTTGTGAGGAATGAAGCCTAACACATTGCTTCTTAGTTGACAAATGTTCAAAATGAACATGCTGGAACTCAGGAATCATTACATGACCCCAATCTCCCCATGGATTTGTTCACATGCTGTTCTGAAATTCCTCTTCTATGTGGCAAGTCCAGTTAGGCTCCTCCTATCCCACCTCTACACCTGCCTCTTTTCTTTTCCTTCTGCTTACTGTTGCCATGTTGACAGTTTAACCTATCCAGTTCTACTGCTTTTCCTCTCTTTAAGTAAACTTATTTAAAAAAATTTTTTTTTTTTAGATTTTTTATTGGGAAATTGGGGGAGGGGAACGGTGCTGGGGAATCTGGGGGAAGGGGAACAGACAAGTTGCTGTCCTTTTGTTCTTCAGTCTAGTTGTGGAGGACGTTGCTTCACTGGCCCAAGTTGGCACCATCATTTCGCTCTTTCAGGCCTCCCCGTTTCCTTTTTATTCAAGTGCTCTTAGCGTTGCCTCTCAGAAGGTAAACTAAGTACAGCCCTAGGACACCAATAATACTGCTGGGGCAATAAAGTAAAATAAAAGAGAAAAAATTTTGGAAATATATTTAGCCGCCCCCCCCCCACACACACACAAATAAAGGTAATCCTTGAGGGAAATAACCACAATGATATTGGATTCCTTTACACTTATTCATTTACGGAGGGATGTGGACGGGTGGCAGACACATGCATATAAGGCTTCTGAAGACATGTGGCTGATCCTGGTTCTATTTTAAGGACATCTGTTTTCAGGTCCCTCACCTCTACCAGAGTTTGAGCTCAACGGGTGCTGGCCATTCTTTTTTTTATCCTAACACAGTGCTTGGAACACAGTAGATGCTCAATGGGTGTTAAAAAGAAAAATGAACTAATGTATGAATATACAAACTAAATCTCACACACACAATTTTCAAGTCTCTAGGCTAGATATTCAGACATCAGAAATAGCACCCATCAACCCCACTTCCCTTTTATCAACCATGTTTAACAAATGTGTTTGCTTTAGGGACCTAAAAGTTAAAGGGAAAGAAAAAAAAAAAAAAGCTTCTTCCCACCACCATCCCCCACTTTATTAAATCAAGCCAGTGAGAAAAACTAATCCTTCTCTCAACATTGACAATACTGAGAGCTGCCTTGGTAATATTGATGATAATTACAGGGCTACAAATCAGGAAAGATCACAAGTGGCCAGATCATGATGATTTAAAAAAATTATCTTTGTTATATAAAAACAGATTCATTAACTTTTGACAATAAAATAATAATAAACCTCAGAATCACTGAAACAGAAATCATGCACCCCCCACCCCACTAGCAAAACCCATTCCAACAGGCAAATCTTGAAACCAATTACAAAATAAGAGAGAAACTTTTATTCAGAAGGAATTTAGAATACTCTGTTTAAACACGCCAGCCTTAATGGTGATACACAGATTTCTTTAATGATTAAGAACATTTTTTTCTAGGGCCGGCTGAGTGGCTCAGTTGGTTAAGAGCTCAAAAAAAAAAAAAAAAAAAAAATTTTTTTTTATTAAAAATATATTTTTAGTGGCACATTCTAAATAAAAAGTCATAATATACACAGCCTCTTAAGAATCACTACTGCTACATTTAATTAAAAAGACAATTACATATTACAGACATGTGGGTTTTTAAAAGATTAACCAAGATTAATACCTACCATTCAGTTCTGCCTTGGCTTGTGTTAGTTACAAGGTAAGATTTTACTAGCTCTGTAGTTTTTTAACTTTGCTTTTTTAATGATTTTTTTTTTCCTTTTGAAAGATGGTAAGAGAGAAAGACAAAAGGTTTGCAGCACAGAAAAGGCATTCTGTATTGCAAAAATACTTACCACACAGAAGTTAACAGCAGAGGACAAGCAGCCCAGGTCAACCTAGAGGAGGCTCAGGAAGACTGAAATGCTTTGTTGCTTCAGCCTAGGGTTGTAATCAGCAGGGGTGGGGTTGGGGAAGAGGAGAGTTAGGGGGTGGGACGGGAGGAAAGAAACCTTTTCAGGGCTGTCTTTACTGCTTAGGGGGCCAGGGTTTTTCTAAAGAAAGTGGACACTGCATTTCATCTCACTGCATTTTATTTTGCGTGACATTTGCCTGAGAACCTTGTTTTCTTAGACAGCATGATGGGCAACAACACATTTTATGAAGGTCCAAGACTTGTTTATTTAGTGAGGATTTCTACAATTCATTTACTTCCTAAGGCATTTAAGGGTCTTGAAATGTGTTTTAAAGTAAGAACTGGCCAGTTGGTCTTAGGTCTCAAAAATGCTAAAGAGAGATTCAGCCTTCTACTTGCCAGGCTCTTAGGACTTCTGTTCCAAGCTAAGGAGCTGGATAGTGTAAGCAAGGGGAAATCCTGAAGGGCTGGGTGCAGAGCGGGCACAATTTCCATGGCATTTTGGAGTCACCTGTCTGTTGCCAGCGTAGAGCCTGGATTCTAGGAAGCAAGACTGACATCAGGGGACTCCCTCCCTTTCATAGTGAAGGATGCAGAGAGCCTGAGAGGGAAGGAGAGCAAAAGGATGGATTTAACAGAAAATCATAATAGAAAATTGTTTCTGGTCGCTGATAAAAATTGTTTAGTTTAGTTGAGGTTAAAATGTCCTCCTTTCTTCTCAGTGTGACTCTTAACAAGTTGTGTTTTCTTTTATGGTGTTTGAACATAAAACACAAATGACTCACTTCGCTAAGACTTTGTTTTATGTTCTCCCTGGTTAGACATGTGTACAGAGGGAATTGTTCCTGGAGGTGGAAGAGTGGAAAAAGGATCCTGGGTGCTTACTTATCACAAAGGGGCATTTGCCTAGTGTATTAACATTCACACATACCATTGAGATAGAGAATTCAATTCCTGTGTAATAAATGCTATCTTATTTCAGGAGACTGGTGTGTGACTAATAACCACTAGACCAGGAGTTGGCAAACTGCGGGTCGCCAGCCACATGCTTCTTTTTGGGTATGTTCCATCTCAAAAGTTTGCCGACCCCTGGAAGAGCTAATCCTGTCCCTCACAACAATTTAAAAATTATTCGAGAGCCATAAATATATTTCTACATAATCACCATTACGTAAATAATACCCTTTAAAATTTTTATAAATGAAGCTATGATAGTTTTATTTTCATTTTCTTTTTTTAAAAGATTTTTATTGGGGAACTGGGGGAGGGAACAGCGTTGGGGGAATCTGAGAAGGGGCACAGACAAGTTGCTGTCCTTTTGTTTTTCAGTCCAGTAGTGGAGGACATCGCTTCACTGGCCCTTTCTACCCACCCTTCCCACCACCCCTCATTCAGTCTCAGCCTCAAAGATGATTTTCTTTGCAACCTTTAGAAAAACATGCAGCTATTTTACTCACGTGAGTGTTACTTGGGTTTTGTTTATATTTGCATGTGTTTTTCTTTTGTTTTTCTCCTTTATCAGAAGGAAACCAAATGGCATCTCGAGAGTAGGAAACTTTGTTTCTGCTGTATCCCCAGTAGCTCACAGAGCCCTGATGTGTAGCAAGTGCTCAATGTGTATTTATTGAATGAATGAAAAAAGAATCAGAGACTAGAACAAAAGATTTAGAGGGTTGATTTTACCCCCTCAAAGATGACCTGGTAGGCCCCTTTTAAACTGCTTTATTGGTATAAATAAGCAAATGGGTAAAACCCCCAAATGCTGGATCCTTCTCCTTTCTATACAATTAATTCAATTGATCTCTGAAAGATTTCTGCATTCTTTTCCTATTCTTGTGTGGCTGGCTTAGACCATAGTTCTGAAGACATTTTAATGTAATCCCACGAGATCCTGAACTTCTCACATGCCTTTGCCTGGTTTGGCCCCAACTTTAAAGTTGTGCCAGTGACAAAGCCCTATACATCTCCTTCCAAAGCCTCATTGTCCAGCTGGGGAGTAAGGCAGGTGAGATACCCAACTGTGGAGGAGAGGAGTACACAGGGGACTCTGGAAGAACCTAAAAAACAGAGCTGTGTCCTGAGGAAGGGCCGGAATGACAGGTGAGGGGTGAAACACAACTCTTTATTGCACATCTTCCATGTATCCAGGTTCTCTCCCTTATTATCTCATTTAATGCTCACCACTGTCCTGTGATATTGATGGTTTTATCACCCTTTTGTAATTGAGAGTAGTCACACGTACCATAGTGATATTTCGGCCAAGGATGAACCATATTTACCACAGTGGTCCTATAAGATTATAATATTAGGTCGTTGGAAAAGTCATGAACGTATTTTGTCTATGTTTTTCAAAGGTCATTTATTTATATAAAGAACAAAGATCAATCAATGATATATTAGCTATTTTGTTCGATAACCTTTTGACATCTTTTAGTGAGCTTCATAATTCCTTGTTCATAGATGGGCCTGTCTTTATTTGCGAAAAACTGAACAAGGTACTGATTTACAGCCTCATCTGAATTGAACATTATACCACGCAAGGAGTTTTGAAGAGAATGAAACAAATGGAAGTCTGATGGCACAAGCTCAGGCGAGTATGGTGGGTGTGGCAACACATCCCATCCAAGCTCCAATAATTTTTGATGGGTGATCAAACTTGTGAGTAGTCTCGCGTTGTCGCAATGGAACACAACTCCTTTATAATTAATGAGCTCTGGACATTTCTGGATGATGGGTTCGTTCAAACTACCTAATTGCCAACAGTACACATTCGAATTGATTGTTTGGTTCCTTGGTAGGAGCTTGAAAAACACAACACCTTTAAAATCCCACCACACTGAGAGCATAACCTTCCTTTGATGAATGCCTGCTTTCGATGCCATTTGAGGCAAATCATCACGTCGGGACCAAGACCGTTTGCACACCACATTGTTTTAAACAATCCACTTCTCATCACCAGTTATCAATTGCTTCAAAAAAGGATCGTTTTCCTCACGTTTAATGAGCATATAGCAGATGTTTATATACGCTATCAAATAAACTTCTTTGAGTTCATGCGGAACCCAAATATTGAGCTTGCTTACGCATTTCAGCTTCTTTAGGTGATCATGAATGCTTGAATGGTGATGTTCAATGTTTCTGCAATCTCTCATGTCATGTAATGTGGGCTTGACTTGATCAATGCCTTTATTTTATTGTCATCAACCTTGGTGGGCCTTCCTGACTGAGGAGCGTCATTGAGATAAAAATCACCAGCACGGAATTTTGTGAACCATTGTTGGCACTGACGTTCTTGTAAAGCATTGTCACCATAAACTTTATGCAACTTTTCACAAGTTTGATGAGTGTCTTTCCACTTATGGAAGTAAAACAGTAAAATATGGCGAAAATGCAAAGAAAATCATCTTTGAGGCTGAGACTCTGAATGAGGGGTGGTGGGAAGGGTGGGTAGAAAGGGCCTTCCTTAAGCAGGGGCCCAGAGGAAGAGTAGATGCTGGCTGTGTGGAGAGGGATAGGAGGAGCTTCCCATGAGAGGGCAAAAATCCCAGCACGCACTCAGCAGATTTGAGAAATTGAAAGGGGCACCTGTTAGACAAGCAATAAGCATTCTAATGGACATATGAGGAACTCATTGTCCATTAAAAAGTGAAGATGTCCTAGGAGAGTCTATAAGCATATGACAAGAACTCAGCAAATACTGATTTTCTTTTTTATTCCCTGAATTAGGGAAGTGTAAAAAAAGAATTATAGTGAAAAGAAATTGGAGAAGTAGAATGTGCAGCTTGCCATGTAGGATGTGGACAGCGAGGGAGAGAGAAGAATTAACACGGTTTCCAAATGTCTAGCTTGCGACACAGCTTGACATTTACACCATTTAAGACTCTTTCTGGCTCAAGTCAATGTTAAGTAAAAAAAGGTTTTATTGCCTCATGTCTGAAAAACCCTGGGTACAACCAGCTTTAGGACCAATTTTTTCCCAGGGCTCAACTCTGTGATCAGGGCCCAGGTCCCACCTTCACTTGGCTCTGCTCTGCTTCATGCTGACTTTGTTTCTGCTCAGACTTCACATGTCCTATAGTGGCATGGGGCTGCCAACAGCTCCAGGCATGTGCTCCCAGAGCCTGGGGCAGGAGAAAACACTTACAATAGTTAACACCCATATTTGATTAACATATCATAAGCACTGTTCTAACTTTTTACAGATACTGACACTTGTAATTTTCACAAGAATGAGGTAGGTAGGAAAACTGAGCGAGATTAAATACCTAGGCCAAAGTTACAAAGAAGAGACAGAGCCAGCATTTGAACTGAGGCAGTGTGGTTTCAAAGTCTGTGCTCCGAAGTGCCTCTTCTGAAAGAGATCTGCCATCTTTTGGGGTCCAGTTGCACTGCATTAGTTTTGTTTGAATCCCTAAGGCTACAAGAAGGGGATGTCGAATTGGCCAGGGTGCAGTCACATGCCCACCTGAAGTAGGCATGAGAAGACACCATCCAGAGCTCCTGGGCTGAGAGGTGGGGGTGGGGCAGAGAAGGCGGGAGGTGAATGACCCAGCAGAAGGATACCTGGATGCTGTATTCCAGGGATTGGCAAACTTTTGAGATGGAAGGGCCAATCCTGTCCCTCACAACAATTGAAAAGTTATTTGAGAGCCATAAAACAAATTAAAACACCATTATGTGAACAATATCCTTTAAAAATGTTATAAATGAAACTGATAGTTTCATTTTAATTTTCAATTTTACTTCAGAGTCACATGTACGTACCCAAAGAGCCACATATGGCTCGCGAGCCGCAGTTCTGAATAGACCCCTGCTCTATTCAGAACAAACAGCAAACCAAGAGCTTTCCGTCACAATTAATAGGGGAAAAAAAGAAGAGGAAAAGGTTTTAGGAAGAAAATGATGAGCTCAGTATTAGAAAGATAAAGTTTGAAGTGCTAGAAAAACATTGAGAAGATGTGGCTTATTGGACATATTGGTTCATCCTTGAAACAAGATGATAATAGAAGGGTGAAAATAAAATGATAGGCAAAGAAATATTGGGCAAATGAAAAACAAGTGAAAGCAGGGGTGGTAACAATATCAGACAAGTGGAACTGAGAGGGTAGGTGGAAAGGTAGAAATCAGCGGGAGGAGGAGGGAACTAGTCTGGGTTAGGAGGCCCCTTGCAGTTGCCCCTACTTATCAGAAGATACGAGAATGTTGTTAGAAGGAGGAAAAAATGCCAGAGAGGGAGGGGAAAACATCGCACTTATCAGAACGTCCATCCCGCTTCTGAGGATCATATAATGATAGTTTGCTCCTTTTTAAGGAGCTTCTCAAATAAATCATGGGAAATTGACGGGTTCACACTTGCATCCTACCTAGGAAACAAACTTGGGAACAAGAAGGGAAGAGGGGGACACGCCAGCAGAAAGACAGAAAGGTACCAGAGAGGGAGAGGAAACAATTCTACCCATAGGAAAACAAACCCTCACACGAGGTAAGGAGGCTGCTTCCCTCTTTTGGGTCAGCCTACTCCATGTCTTGGAGTGTACTTGCTTTACTAATAAACTTCTTGCTGTCTTGTACTTATACAAACTCTCTCTCTTGACTGAATTCTTTCCTTCAATAAGCCAAGAACCGAGAGAAAGTGTCACTCCTGGTAACTAACTGCAGGGTAAAAGCACTTAGAGTTTAAGGATCATCCTTATAGAATGATAAAAGGCACAGATCAGCAAGATATGACAGCCATAAAGTAGACAACAAAGAATGTCCACATTAGCAGCTAAATACATGTAGGCAAGGAAAGTTTTATAATATACAGTTATAATGAGAGATTTCAAAATACCTTTCTCACAATTAGCTGGAATTAACAGTAAAAAAATCATTCATTATGCTGTACACCTTAAACTTATAGTTTTGCATGTCAATTAAATCTCAATAAAACTGGGGAAAAAATATTTCAGACCAACAAAATAATACAATGTTATACTAGCCAAAACATTATTCAGTTGGACTGAATAACATAATGAAATAACTTGATATGGTACATGTGAGGACTTCTTACATTCCACAAATAAAGAAAATATTTTTTTCATAAAATGAAAAATTATAAATACATGATAAAAGGTGGCCTAAAAATTTATAAATAGTTAAAAATTAAGGCACAAACCTCTAGGTAAGTCTTGGATCAAAGAAGAAATAAAAGGGAACTCATAACCCTCTAGAAACTAATGAAAAGGAAACCACTTAATGAGACCTACACTCTGAAAGCAGTACTAAGAGGAACAGTAAGAAACCTAAAGTGCCTTTGCAATTTAAAAGTAAAACCAAAAAATAAAGGAACTAAATATCCATCTTAAAAA